TATATATATAATTTTATAAATTGTTTGATTTTAAGTTTAAGGCTGGAGTAAGTTTTGTGTCTCTTTACAAGTTTTTGTCACTATGAGAGCAGATCATTTTTTCCCCAGTTGTAAAGGTTGCAAACTCCTGAGTTAGAGGATAATAAAAATGGCAATTCCAACAAGTGATGAGGCACAATAAAAGCGAGCGCCGACTCTAGGTGGCAACCTCGTCGTTGTATCTGATCACAGAGGAAGGTCGTGTATCTCTTCAGAGGACAGGGACTGCAGCCAAGAGACAAAAGCCTGAAAAACAAACGCTCCTAAAGTGTCTAATCTCCTCGTCTATCCTTCATCTGCCTCCTCCAACGCCACATGAACACTGCAATCATTGCGCTCACAATGAGGCTGGATAAATCTCAAAAAGAAGGTGTGTTTGTGCTTTAGGACAACCTGGAGATGATGCCCTGGGGAATTTTGGATGATTTTTGTAAACCTGGCAATAACGGCAACTCCACTTCTGCTGCCTGAGCGAGTGGAAGTGAGRCCAGCGACGCCAATAAAACGGGAGATTGAGATTGATATCACTCTGAAAAATCAATACTCGGACCGAAGCACAACTTTCACTTGAGTTTGYTTTAGTCATCAATTTTCGAGAGCTCCTCTGCTGCCGTTGTGACCTTTAGTGGAAGAAAAACTGTGTGAAACGCAGGCTGAAGTTTGTAGGAAAAGTTCTCATCCAGGGAAGAAGAGGCGATGATGAGCGCCGATGACTAACAGGCAGCCAGCTGGTCACACACAAGCAAAAGCTTGAATCATGAAGGATTTACTATGTGAGAAAATGCTGCCTTTTGTCAGAAAATCCTGTTTTTTTTTTAGATGAAAAGCAGAACATGGAATCTGTTCTCATGAAGTGCTGCTCCAGTACCTGTGCCTTTCTTGCAGATGTAGGGCAGGTTGTAGTTGCAGGGCACGTCGTTCCACTTGCCGTCCTCGTGGGCGATGGTCACCACGCAGTCCTCCCCACCTGCGAAGAAGTTATCTGGCTGGCTCTCCCTCCAGTTCTCATAAACCTGAACAGCAGAAAACACTCAAAGTCAGCTTCATTTATTTTTATAGCAGCATTAACACAAAGCCAATGTTGAAAATATAAATAAACACAGAGATTTTAATTTGAAATGGAATTATGTGGGATTTCTGAGTTTAATGTCACACATTAATTTGAATCTATCAGCCAAACTCAGACAGCTCAGATGTAGATGTTCACTTGTCAGATCTGATCAAACTAATGCAGCTCTGAATGGAGCTAAATGTAATTTCAAGGTTGCTAAACTTATTTAAAAGCAATCATCCTTTAAATATCACTTAATACAACTTAATGTTATTTATTCATGATTTTTTATTTTAACTTTTAAATAAATGGTGTTTGCTAAAAAAAGCCTTTGAATCAAATTCTTTCTTTCCTGCTTGAGTAAATACAAAAAAAGCAGCATGCCTCCTGTTCAATCAGAGTTAAAACGTTATCTGCTATTCTTTTTGAATGTGAAAATTACAATCGTCCACAGCTTTTCAAATTTTCCAAAAGCCTGGCAGGAAAATGTAGCTTCGACTGAAATTTTTGTTAACAATAAATAAATAAATAAATAAGCATGAGTGTGTTTTATAGACAACCAGAGAAAGCTGTGAAGAAGAAAGCTATTGTCATTTGAACTGATTGTAACATTTTAAAGTCACAAACACACTGTCAGTTTGTGCTTACTCTCTCTCTGTAGCCAAAAAATGTCTTAGCACCAAAAATAACAAAAGAGGCTGTTGTTTTCTTGAAAAATGCACCAAAACACAGCTAGGAACACTGATACAAAGATTTACTTGTGAGTTTGTTTCTTTTTGATTTAGAGAGTTGTCCACTTGGTCTTGTACACATCCATCCATCCATCCATCCATCCATCCATCCATCCATCCATCCATCCATCTACCCATCCATCCATCCATCCATCATCCATCCATCCATCCATCTACCCATCCATCCATCCATCCCATCCATCCATCTACCCATCCATCCATCCATCCATCCATCCATCTACCCATCCATCCATCCATCCATCATCCATCCATCCATCCATCTACCCATCCATCCATCCATCCATCATCCATCCATCCATCCATCTACCCATCCATCCATCCATCCATCCATCATCCATCTACCCATCCATCCATCCATCCATCCATCATCCATCCATCCATCTACCATCCATCCATCCATCCATCCATCTACCCATCCATCCATCCATCTACCCATCCATCCATCCATCCATCCATCCCATCCATCCATCTACCCATCCATCCATCCATCCATCCATCCATCCATCCATCCATCCATCCATCCATCTACCCATCCATCCATCTACCCATCCATCCATCCATCTACCCATCCATCCATCCATCCATCCATCTACCCA